GGACTCCTTGGGTAGCTAGGGGGCTCGTTTGGTTGTCTCAGCAACTCATTGGGTAGCTTTGGAACTCCTTGGGTAGCTCAGGAACTCCTTGGGTAGCTCAGGGACTCCTTGGGTAGCTCAGCGACTCATTAGGTAGCTCAGGGACTTGTTGGGTTGCTCAGGGACTCGTTAGGTATCTCAGGGACTCCTTGGGTTGCTCAGAGACTCCTTGGGTAGCTCAGAGATTTGTTGGGTACCTCGGGGGCTTGTTGGGTAGCTCAAGGACTCGATATGTAGCTCAGGGACACGTTGGGTAGCTCAGGGACTTGTTGAATATCTCAGGGACTCCTTGGATAGCTCAGGGACTCTTTGGGTAGCTCATTTTAGTAGGTAAAGCTGTGATTGTCTTGTTTCCTTTCTGTAGGCAAAGAAGTACGCCATGGAGCAGAGCATCAAGAGCGTGTTGGTCAAACAGACTCTTGTGCAGCAGCCGTTTAGCAGCCTTCAGGTACCTCATAGAGAACCCATCATCACAGCCAGGATTACGTGACTCTGACTTGAGGATTAGGATCAATAGTCTTTCTGTGGACTTAATATTTTGTGTCTTCGTGTCCCAGATGGCGCCTCTGACGATGAGTATGGGCGACGCACTGTCTCCTCTGCAGTCTGTGAGTATCGTCCTTATTCACAGTTTCTGCTGCTCAGTAAAAACCTTCAGTCGTTGAATGGATTTTGTAAAATCCCTTAAATGTTTTTAAAAATCATTAAATTTTAAATTCAGTGGCAATAAATGTTTTTATTAGTTTTTAAGAAACATAAGGTGAGATGAGCCTCATTCTTTACATGAGCGTTACTTCACAGTAACACGTACAACAGGTCAGGAACAGATTCTGGTCAGTCAAGGTACATTTATCAGAAGATCATGTCTTGAAGGACATCCTGAAGAGGCAGATGTAGAAACATCCAGAAGAGACAGATGTAGAGACGTCCTGAAGGGACAGACGAAGAAACATCCAGAAGGGACAGACATAGAGATGTCCTAAAGGAACAGACGTCATGTCCCGAGCAGGGACCAAATGGTTAACCATGCTGAGAGACAAGGAGTTTATGCAGTGTTTGCCCTACCATTATCCAAGGTCCAAGGAGGGCACCCCGCCCTGTCAATAGAGCCGAGCACCCTGCCTACTGAAATGTGCCCCCACCCCCCACCCCATCGACAACTGCCGGCGCCAACGTAGCGCTTCACAGATGTTTCTAAGGAGAGGAGCGCCCTGCCAAGGCAAGTGACCTCAGGGAAACGCTGTTATGGCTACAGCTGTTGACGGTCAGGGTGGTGAATGATTTTTCAGTGTTTTTAAAAAAAGAGCTGAAATTGTCGGCATATGGAAAGGCAGGCCAGTGTTGTGCTGAAGAGCGATGCTTTGGCTGCTGCAGAAGTGTGCTCATCCTGTCTGAGCATTGGTGTGAGTTGCTATTTTTGCTGCTTCAGTTCTTGTTGGGAAACAATGTGAACTCTGAAAAACAACTAAGACTGTAGCAAAGCTGAGTATCTGTTTAATGTTTGTTTTCCCAAAAAAACATCAGGATGTTTTTTCCAAGAGAATGTTAGTTTGATGTTTTCAAATATTTTTTTTACATGGGATTATAGCAAAGTAAACAAGGTGAGGGTCTGTGGACTACCTAGTTACATGATTGATTTATTACCCAGGGAATATTAATGATGGCACACAGCAGCTTTGTGTTTAATCAAAACAATTTTTAACCTCACAGAGAATCGATAAACTACGGAGCCTTGTAAGGTCTGTCTGATAATTATGTGGACGTTTGTGGTAAAATGTCACTTCCTATTTTCTCTGTTGGTAGCTTGAGTAATTTGTTTGCTCAAGGAGTCTTTTGTTTTTCTGGATTTATCTATCTTTTTCACAGTTCTACAATCAAGTACACAAACACCCTCAGTACAATTGTTTTTCTATTGTTGGATGTGCTTGAAACACCTTTTATCTTTCAATACCTCTTAGTTTTTATTGGTGTATTTGGGATCTGCTAGCTATTGCTAGCGTTAGCTTAGCATGGCTTCTGGTTGTCTCCTGACTTCCTCTGTTGTCTCTTTTTTCATTCAACCTTTATTTATACAGGTTAGTCTCATTGAGCCTAATTTGCCTTGCAGGTAGCTAAGGCAAAGCGGAAGGCTTTTGATGAGTTATATGGGAGGCTGGATTCTAAAGAGGGCGAGAAGGACTTGTACCGATTGGCGAGACAGAGGGACCAGGCTGGAAAGGATGTGCAGCATGTTAGGCTTGTTAATGTAATGATAGGAATGGTATTGTTCTAACAAGTGAGGAGAGTTTGGTAGGAGGATGGAAGGAGTAATTTGAGGAGCTAATGAATGAAGAGAATGAAAGAGACAGAAGAGTAGAGGTCATAGAAACTGTGGACCAGGAAGTAGCAAAGATTAGTGAGGGGGAAGTCTGGAAAGCTCTGAAAAGAATGAAAAAGGAAAAGGCAGAAGGACCTGATCACATTCCAGTGGAGGTTTCCACTATTGCCAGCCACCCGGGCTCCGTCGACCCGGCTCTCTACGGAGAGAGAACTCTTTGAGAGCTTAGTTCCTGAGCCTGGTTCTGCTAAAGGTTTCTTCCTCATGAGGGAGTTTTTCCTTTTCACTGTCGCCTCATGCTTGCTCAAGATGAGAGTTATGTGATGGAGTTAAACTCAAAGCAGTCTGCTCCTCACATACTGTATATAATGTTAACTTGCTTTTTATGTATATGAATATCCTGATGCATGCTCAATAATCCAGGTAGAAAAATCTAAAAAAGTTAAATCTGGTCCTCTGGACATTCAAAAAAAACAAAACAAAGCAAATCAACAAAAAATGTAGAAACGTTTCGTCTCTCATCCTGAGGACTTCCTCAGTCTGAGGAGCTGTTTTCAGCTCAGTCTCTTAAATAGCACCTTCTCAGAGTGGATCAACCAGTTTTGCTGCTGACAACCAAAACCAGCTGATCACATGCTCAAGAAGGACCATCAGCCTAACAATGGATCAT